TTTCCCTTCTGCAGCATTGGCTGTTCCCGTGCACACGTGTGGTGTGCTGCTGTGATGTTGGACTGTTGTGCTGCACCTGCGAGTGTGCGCAGCCATCTGCAGAGCTATTGATATATATATACTTTTCCCTCTCTTGTGTGTGTTTGTTTTTTTCTTGTAATTGAATTCACTGTGTAAGTTTTTTTTTGTTTTGTTTTGTTTCTCTCCCCTTCCCTCACTGTAACTATATTGCTGGGCATTTGACTGCATGCTCGTTTGTGCCAAGTGTACTTATTGGGTGATGCAGGGTCCTAAAAATGGAGTGAAATAATTTATTGTTCTTTATTTATGTTTATATATATACACGGGTTTTAATTGTGTTGGGGTTTGGTAAGAGACATGTCTGTGTGACTGTGGAGTGCAGTCACATTGGTGTGGTTTGTTCTGCACCTGATGGGGGAATATTTCTTCTTGTTTTCTTTCCCCTTATTCTCTTTTCTGCTTCATGTACTGCGCTGCTTTTCCTGTGTGTGTCTGTGTAGATGTTGTGTTTGCACTGCTCTTTGTGTTCTTGTTTTTCCTTCTCTTCTTCCTTGTTACCACAGACCCAAGCAACCCACAGTGACAATCATAACAACGATGTTCGTCCAACTGCGCCGCGTGGTGTACCTGTTGGTACTTCTGCACTGCTGTGCTTCTGTGGCATATGCGCAAGATAGTGTAGGTAAAACTGAATTAAATAAAAGTAGACCATTTTCGGTTGTTGTTGCTCCAGCAAATGATACACTTCTTGTACTCACGTTAACTGTCAAGGAATTGTGCAAGGAGGCGCTAGACACTGTTGACTCAACAGAAAGAGCAACCACTAAATGCTCTACAGCTGCTGATGCTGCAAANCTGTTGGTACTTCTACAGTGCTGTACTAGTGTGGCATATGCGGAAAGTGTGAAGGAGTCTGCAAAAGACGTTGTATTAAGGAGGGGAGATAGTTTAAAGAAGATTGAAGGTGAAATGGAAGCCATACGTATAGAAGCACTAAAAAATATAAGTGATCTCAAGAATAAATTGAAAGTATGGAAGGAAGATTCTGAACGTGCTAAATCTGTTGCTGATGAAGTTAGACACATGCGCCAGGTGATTGAAGCTGCAATGAGAAATAGTGGTGTCCCTTCTGCGAATAAAGGTGTTGTTGGTGTTAGTATAACTGCAGGGCTGCTAAAGAATGCAACAGATGCAGTAGAGAAAGCTGAGGTTGCTGTTAAGAAGGCAAAGAATTCAGCCTCCATTGCAAAGGAATTGGGGAATTCTTGTTTGGATGCGTTTTATCA